TCAGAAACGTCACTTTTGAAGTGTTTTCTTGTACTTTTAAGCCACTCAGATACCCAACGGGCTCGGAAAGTGCAACGAAACCATCAAATTTTAGCTAGAAACTGTATTTTTGTCGATTTTTATTGAATTTGAACTATATTTCAACGTTTTTTGATGGTTCTGAGCCACCAAACACACTTAAAGCTTGCAGAATCGACTCAGAATAGGAAAAGGAGACGTTTAGGTCAATTTTATGCATTCTGGCGTTCGTAGATACAAGAAAACTGTTAAAATTCTTCAGAAACGTCACTTTTGAAGTGTTTTCTTGTACTTTTAAGCCACTCAGATACCCTACGGGCTCGGAAAGTGCAACGAAACCATCAAATTTTAGCTAGAAACTGTATTTTTGTCGATTTTTATTGAATTTGAACTATATTTCAACGTTTTTTGATGGTTCTGAGCCACCAAACACACTTAAAGCATGCAGAATCGACTCAGAATAGGAAAAGGAGACGTTTAGGTCAATTTTATGCATTCTGGCGTTCGTAGATACAAGAAAACTGTTAAAATTCTTCAGAAACGTCACTTTTTAAGTGTTTTCTTGTACTTTTAAGCCACTCAGATACCCTACGGGCTCGGAAAGTGCAACGAAACCATCAAATTTTAGCTAGAAACTGTATTTTTGTCGATTTTTATTGAATTTGAACTATATTTCAACGTTTTTTGATGGTTCTGAGCCACCAAACACACTTAAAGCATGCAGAATCGACTCAGAATAGGAAAAGGAGACGTTTAGGTCAATTTTATGCATTCTGGCGTTCGTAGATACAAGAAAACTGTTAAAATTCTTCAGAAACGTCACTTTTGAAGTGTTTTCTTGTACTTTTAAGCCACTCAGATACCCTACGGGCTCGGAAAGTGCAACGAAACCATCAAATTTTAGCTAGAAACTGTATTTTTGTCGATTTTTATTGAATTTGAACTATATTTCAACGTTTTTTGATGGTTCTGAGCCACCAAACACACTTAAAGCATGCAGAATCGACTCAGAATAGGAAAAGGAGACGTTTAGGTCAATTTTATGCATTCTGGCGTTCGTAGATACAAGAAAACTGTTAAAATTCTTCAGAAACGTCACTTTTGAAGTGTTTTCTTGTACTTTTAAGCCACTCAGATACCCTACAGGCTCGGAAAGTGCAACGAAACCATCAAATTTTAGCTAGAAACTGTATTTTTGTCGATTTTTATTGAATTTGAACTATATTTCAACGTTTTTTGATGGTTCTGAGCCACCAAACACACTTAAAGCATGCAGAATCGACTCAGAATAGGAAAAGGAGACGTTTAGGTCAATTTTATGCATTCTGGCGTTCGTAGATACAAGAAAACTGTTAAAATTCTTCAGAAACGTCACTTTTGAAGTGTTTTCTTGTACTTTTAAGCCACACAGATACCCTACGGGCTCGGAAAGTGCAACGAAACCATCAAATTTTAGCTAGAAACTGTATTTTTGTCGATTTTTATTGAATTTGAACTATATTTCAACGTTTTTTGATGGTTCTGAGCCACCAAACACACTTAAAGCATGCAGAATCGACTCAGAATAGGAAAAGGAGACGTTTAGGTCAATTTTATGCATTCTGGCGTTCGTAGATACAAGAAAACTGTTAAAATTCTTCAGAAACGTCACTTTTGAAGTGTTTTCTTGTACTTTTAAGCCACTCAGATACCCTACGGGCTCGGAAAGTGCAACGAAACCATCAAATTTTAGCTAGAAACTGTATTTTTGTCGATTTTTATTGAATTTGAACGATATTTCAACGTTTTTTGATGGTTCTGAGCCACCAAACACACTTAAAGCATGAGAATCGACTCAGAATAGGAAAAGGAGACGTTTAGGTCAATTTTATGCATTCTGACGTTCGTAGATACAAGAAAACTGTTAAAATTCTTCAGAAACGTCACTTTTGAAGTGTTTTCTTGTACTTTTAAGCCACTCAGATACCCTACGGGCTCGGAAAGTGTAACGAAACCATCAAATTTTAGCTAGAAACTGTATTTTTGTCGATTTTTATTGAATTTGAACTATATTTCAACGTTTTTTGATGGTTCTGAGCCACCAAACACACTTAAAGCATGCAGAATCGACTCAGAATAGGAAAAGGAGACGTTTAGGTCAATTTTATGCATTCTGGCGTTCGTAGATACAAGAAAACTGTTAAAATTCTTCAGAAACGTCACTTTTGAAGTGTTTTCTTGTACTTTTAAGCCACTCAGATACCCTACGGGCTCGGAAAGTGCAACGAAACCATCAAATTTTAGCTAGAAACTGTATTTTTGTCGATTTTTATTGAATTTGAACTATATTTCAACGTTTTTTGATGGTTCTGAGCCACCAAACACACTTAAAGCATGCAGAATCGACTCAGAATAGGAAAAGGAGACGTTTAGGTCAATTTTATGCATTCTGGCGTTCGTAGATACAAGAAAACTGTTAAAATTCTTCAGAAACGTCACTTTTGAAGTGTTTTCTTGTACTTTTAAGCCACTCAGATACCCTATGGGCTCGGAAAGTGCAACGAAACCATCAAATTTTAGCTAGAAACTGTATTTTTGTCGATTTTTATTGAATTTGAACTATATTTCAACGTTTTTTGATGGTTCTGAGCCACCAAACACACTTAAAGCATGCAGAATCGACTCAGAATAGGAAAAGGAGACGTTTAGGTCAATTTTATGCATTCTGGCGTTCGTAGATACAAGAAAACTGTTACAATTCTTCAGAAACGTCACTTTTGAAGTGTTTTCTTGTACTTTTAAGCCACTCAGATACCTTACGGGCTCGGAAAGTGCAACGAAACCATCAAATTTTAGCTAGAAACTGTATTTTTGTCGATTTTTATTGAATTTGAACTATATTTCAACGTTTTTTGATGGTTCTGAGCCACCAAACACACTTAAAGCATGCAGAATCGACTCAGAATAGGAAAAGGAGACGTTTAGGTCAATTTTATGCATTCTGGCGTTCGTAGATACAAGAAAACTGTTAAAATTCTTCAGAAACGTCACTTTTGAAGTGTTTTCTTGTACTTTTAAGCCACTCAGATACCCTACGGGCTCGGAAAGTGCAACGAAACCATCAAATTTTAGCTAGAAACTGTATTTTTGTCCATTTTTATTGAATTTAAACTATATTTCAACGTTTTTTGATGGTTCTGAGCCACCAAACACACTTAACTGATTTTTCTTGTATCAATCAGTCGGTTGTGCAGTGTGCTTAGTGATTTGGTATTTAATTTGTGATTATTTGCTGTAAAATTTCGATTTAATTTTTGATAGCCCCTCGTATAGCACTGGTAAGCTTAAATACGTTAAGACGTATAATCTTATTAAGCCCTTTTGGGCCATTCAGTGATTTCAGCTGTTTGATAATTTTTTCTCGTGTCTGGTAGTTAACTGTTTACTATTTGTAGTTTAGTTTTCTCTCACTGAGGAGGGCGCTTTCCGCGTCCTGCTGTTATGGCGGTCGCCAAATTGTAAACACTGGTGTAAAATTTTTCCTTGAATCTTTTTGCCTGCCGGCTACACATTCTCAAAATGAGTGACCAGCAAAATCTAGTTTGTCCAGGCTGTAATATTGCTGTTGATGTGAATTTATCCATTTCTTGTGATCTTTGTGGGCGAGGTCTTCACTCTTCTTGTGCGGGTCTTACTTCTGGTGAAGCGGCTAGCTTTAGAATTGCTCATCGGCGTTCTCCACATTTAAAATTGCTATGTGTCAATTGTATTGACGTTTTTCAAACTCCTCCCTTTTCACCAACATCTAATAATTTTAGCGATGTATCATTTGAACGAAATTTGTTTTTAAAATATGTTCGTATAATGTTGAATGATGAGATTGCTCCCCTAAAGGAAAAAATTTCGGCCATGCTTAATAGCCCTATGCATGCTGTGACTGATGATTCTCCTAACCCAAATATGCAAGAGATATTGAATGAAATTCAGTCGCTCCGTTCTGAGGTTAATAACCTCAAGGCTAGCAACCTTGACCTATTAAAATTAAGTCAGCTTAATTTATGTGTTTCCAATCCCCAAGCCAACGCAAGCCCTGAACCTACAATTAAGGGTAATAGCCATGTATCGTATGCCAGCAAACTTTCTGCCCAATCAAGCAAACTGGTCATCAAGCCAAAAAACCCCGATCACTCAGTCTCCCAGACGAAGTCTGACATTTTGAAAAATGTTAATTTAGCTGATGAGAACATTATAATTGATAAAGTAAAACCAGTCTCAAGTGGCGGATTAATGATTGAGTGTCATGATCAGTTAGGTGGCGACAAATTTAAACAACTTGCTAACACTAAATTTGGAGAAATGTATGAAGTGAGAGCGGTCAGACCATATCGACCTGCTGTGCGTTTTGTTGGTCTGTCTAAAGAAATTACTAAAGATATGTTGGCTAACTACATAGTCAAACAAAATCCCACAATCTTTGGTAATTCTCCTTGGTGTAGAGTTCTGCGTCATTGGTGCACATTTAACAATAAAGACGTTTTTCAAGCAGATGTTGAAATTGATCTTGATGTCTATAACAAGCTGCTGCAACTGGGTCAGATAATAATTGGTGTCAACAGCTGCAAAATTTATGATGCAATCTCAGTTCCTAGATGTCGTAGGTGTAATGGGTTCTTTCATAATGATAAACAATGCAAAAGGGCTATTTCCTGTCCAATATGCGCCGGCGAACACCACGTCGGTAAATGCTCGGTTCCAAAGGAAGAAAGACGTTGCAGTAATTGCGTTTCTCTAAAATCCTCTCTTGAGAGTATGTCAAACAATCGAACTATTAATATCAATCATGCAGCTTGGGAGGGTGCTAAATGTGAAGCTTATTCTTTAGCTCTTGAAAAGTTTAGAGGTAGTTTTATGGGCAAAACTTCAAAAAACTAGGTACACTTAAAACAAATTATGCTTTCAGTGCTTTTTCTGTTCGTAACTGTTTCTTGAAGTCAACCAGTAATATGTCTTCCTTCTCTTCTGACAGTGAATCTGCTGCTTATGATCAAATGAATTGTCAACATGTATCAACTTCTACAGCTTCCAATTTTAATTTATATTATCAGAACGTCCGAGGGCTTAACACTAAAATTAATACTTTTTTTGGTAATGTATGCGACTGTGAGTTCGATATTGTATGTCTCACCGAGACAGGACTTTCCTCTAGTGTTAAAAGTGATGAACTCTTTGGATCCGGGTATAGTGTTTTTAGGAGAGATCGTTCTTTTAAAGAATGTGGTTTATCTAGGGGTGGAGGTGTTTTAATTGCTACTAAAAGTACTTTGTCTTCCAGTGTTGTTTCCATTCCACAGCAGTATGATTACAGCATTGATCTATTAGCGGTGAAAGTGAAACTGGGACCAAATAAGATTATTGTCATTTTAACAATTTATATCCCCCCCTCTGTAAATTGTGACACATATGAGAAATTCATTGAATTTCTATGTACATTAAATTGCCTCCTCGATAATAAGGAATGTGTAATTATTGGTGATTTCAACTCGACATATTTTTCTGTTAATGGTACTGATCGTAAGTCAAGCTCGCTGCAAAATTTCTCTTCTTTTGCTAACCTGACTCAGTACAACTGCATTACAAATCAAGATGGACGTCTCTTGGATTTAATATTTAGTAATATTGAATGTAATGTTTATGAAGATCCTCTGCCTATGGTGCGTGTTGATCCTTACCATCCACCTTTGAATGTTCACTTCGCTATTAAACACACACGTTTTAAAAATTTTAAATCCAACCAGTCTGAATGGCAATTCAATTATAGAAAAGGAAATTATATCAACTTATACCAACATCTATGTGAATTTGATTGGAATGTTCTTCCTGATACGTATGATGTTAATGTAATGTGCGACAAATTTTATTATTATCTGAAGGAAATCTTTCGCCTTCACATCCCTTTAGGACCTCGTAAATACTCAAAGCGGTATCCTCCGTGGTTTTCATTAGATATAATAAAAATGCTTAAAGCCAAAGGAAAGGCTTATGAACGTTACAGGAAAAGTCCTCAAAGAGAGCTTTATGTTGAATTTCAGACTCTTAGATCAGAGACAAAAAAATTGATTTCAGCATCGCACAAAGCATATGTACACATGATTCAAAATCAAATTCATGAGGATCCCGCCAAATTCTGGGCCTTTGTCAATCTACAACGTGGTAAGTCTAGGATACCTGGGGTAGTAAATTACAATGAATCCAGCCATTGTACACCTACTGCAGTCCTTAATGCTTTTGCTTCTTTCTTTGCTAGTGTATTTACCGATTCTGATAATACCTTTTGTGCATCCAGTTCGATCAACATACAATCTTTAAATGTAAGTCTGCCACTTATAACAAATGAAGATGTTGTTGCCGCTTGCAAGAAGTTAAAAAGTAAATTTACAGCCGGAGTCGACGGCATCCCGGCGTTTCTAGTGAAAGACTGTGCAGTCCTCTTTGCAACACCACTTACCCGTTTGTTTAATTTATGCATTCAGACTGGACAATTTCCATATACTTGGAAAAAAGCGCGCATTTGCCCTGTACACAAGGACGGCGATATCTCTGATGTGTCTAACTATAGACCTATTTCCATTCTGTGCAATTTTTCCAAGATTTTTGAGATGGTTATATACGGAAAAATATATCACCAAGTCCTGCCAAAAATTTCACTTAGTCAACATGGCTTTGTGAAAGGACGGTCTACCCTTACCAATCTAGTTCAGTTTACTCAATATGCTCTCAGTGTATTAGATAAAGGTGGTCAATTAGATGTCATATATTTTGATTTTCGTCGTGCGTTTGACAGAATTGATCATTACATTTTATTGTATAAATTGCAGATGTTTGGGTTTGACAGTAACTTAGTCAAATTATTTGAGAGTTATCTCCTTGGACGGACACAGTACGTTTCATATGAAGGTTTCAATTCTTTCTCATATCCAGTTCGTTCCGGCGTGCCTCAAGGTTCTAACCTTGGCCCACTTTTATTTCTTCTTTTTATGAACGACCTGCCGGATATTGTTAAAAACAAAATTTTGCTTTATGCTGATGACGTCAAATTATTTAGAGAGGTAAAGGATCAGGATGACAGTCACTCATTACAGAATGATGTATCCAAATTTGTGCTATGGTCTGAGAATAACAGACTATCACTATCGCTTGATAAATGTAGATACATAGCATATACTAATAAAAAGTATCCTGTGGTCACTAATTATTTTTTAAGTAATGTAAGCATTAAGAGAGATGTCGTTATTAAAGACCTAGGTGTAATTTTTGATGTAAAATTACAGTTTGCTGAACACTACAGATACATTGCAGGTAAGGCGTCCAAAATTACGGGATTTATTATACGCAATTCAAAATCGTTTAATACTGAATGCGTTAAGAAATTGTATTTTTGCTACGCAAGATCTCTACTTGATTATTGCTCTACTGTGTGGTCACCTATAGATCAATGCCACAAGATGTCCTTGGAGAAGATACAGAGACGGCTCCTGAAGTATCTAGCCTTTAAAAACGACAATATATACCCTCCACGCAAATTTCCAGAGAACCGGCTACTTGAAAGATTTAGTATTCCAGCTCTAGAGATAAGAAGAAATATCCTTGCTGTATCATTCCTATATAAGGTCGTCAATGGTTATATCGATACACCAGAAATATTGGAAGTTATAAAATTTCGCGTGCCACAACTTCAGCTCAGAAGTACAGATACGTTCTATTTGCCTACAGCCAGAACAAAATTATTGAAGAAATCACCTATATATCTGATGTGTTCAACCTTCAACAAATACGGGAAAAGCTGCGATATATTCTACGATAGCCAAAGATGCATCAGAAGTATCATTTGTTTAAAGTCGATGGCTAATTTCCAATAGTAAATTATGCTTTTGAAATTCTCTTTTTTCTTTAGATATCTTTATATAATTTATGTAATTTATGAGTTACCGTTTATTCATTTATATGTGAAATTGTCTGTAACTACGACTGTTATGTCAAATTATACTTTATTTAGATTTATATTCAGTCAGGTACATATTATACATATTATCCTATAATTGGGCCACGGTCTGTTGGATAATAAACATTTATTATTATTATTATTATTAAAGCATGCAGAATCGACTCAGAATAGGAAAAGGAGACGTTTAGGTCAATTTTAAGCATTCTGGCGTTCGTAGATACAAGAAAACTGTTAAAATTCTTCAGAAACGTCACTTTTGAAGTGTTTTCTTGTACTTTTAAGCCACTCAGATACCCTACGGGCTCGGAAAGTGCAACGAAACCATCAAATTTTAGCTAAAAACTGTATTTTTGTCGATTTTTATTGAATTTGAACTATATTTCAACGTTTTTTGATGGTTCTGAGCCACCAAACACACTTAAAGCATGCAGAATCGACTCAGAATAGAAAAAGGAGACGTTTAGGTCAATTTTAAGCATTCTGGCGTTCGTAGATACAAGAAAACTGTTAAAATTCTTCAGAAACGTCACTTTTGAAGTGTTTTCTTGTACTTTTAAGCCACTCCACTTCCGTTTAGAAACGTCTCCTTTTCCTATTCTGAGTCGATTCTGCATGCTTTAAGTGTGTTTGGTGGCTCAGAACCATCAAAAAACGTTGAAATATAGTTCAAATTCAATAAAAATCGACAAAAATACAGTTTCTAGCTAAAATTTGATGGTTTCGTTGCACTTTCCGAGCCCGTAGGGTATCTGAGTGGCTTAAAAGTACAAGAAAACACTTCAAAAGTGACGTTTCTGAAGAATTTTAACAGTTTTCTTGTATCTACGAACGCCAGAATGCATAAAATTGACCTAAACGTCTCCTTTTCCTATTCTGAGTCGATTCTGCATGCTTTAAGTGTGTTTGGTGGCTCAGAACCAACAAAAAACGTTGAAATATAGTTCAAATTCAATAAAAATCGACAAAAATACAGTTTCTAGCTAAAATTTGATGGTTTCGTTGCACTTTCCGAGCCCGTAGGGTATCTGAGTAGCTTAAAAGTACAAGAAAACACTTCAAAAGTGAGGTTTCTGAAGAATTTTAACAGTTTTCTTGTATCTACGAACGCCAGAATGCATAAAATTGACCTAAACGTCTCCTTTTCCTATTCTGAGTCGATTCTGCATGCTTTAAGTGTGTTTGGTGGCTCAGAACCATCAAAAAACGTTGAATTATAGTTCAAATTCAATAAAAATCGACAAAAATACAGTTTCTAGCTAAAATTTGGTGGTTTCGTTGCACTTTCCGAGCCCGTAGGGCATCTGAGTGGCTTAAAAGTACAAGAAAACACTTCAAAAGTGACGTTTCTGAAGAATTTTAACAGTTTTCTTGTATCTACGAACGCCAGAATGCATAAAATTGACCTAAACGTCTCCTTTTCCTATTCTGAGTCGATTCTGCATGCTTTAAGTGTGTTTGGTGGCTCAGAACCATCAAAAAACGTTGAAATATAGTTCAAATTCAATAAAAATCGACAAAAATACAGTTTCTAGCTAAAATTTGATGGTTTCGTTGCACTTTCCGAGCCCGTAGAGTATCTGAGTGGCTTAAAAGTACAAGGAAACACTTCAAAAGTGACGTTTCTGAAGAATTTTAACAGTTTTCTTGTATCTACGAACCCCAGAATGCATAAAATTGACCTAAACGTCTCCTTTTCCTATTCTGAGTGGATTCTGCATGCTTTAAGTGTGTTTGGTGGCTCAAAACCATCAAAAAACGTTGAAAAATAGTTCAAATTCAATAAAAATCGACAAAAATACAGTTTCTAGCTAAAATTTGATGGTTTCGTTGCACTTTCCGAGCCCGTAGGGTATCTGAGTGGCTTAAAAGTACAAGAAAACACTTCAAAAGTGACGTTTCTGAAGAATTTTAACAGTTTTCTTGTATCTTCGAACGCCAGAATGCATAAAATTGACCTAAACGTCTCCTTTTCCTATTCTGAGTCGATTCTGCATGCTTTAAGTGTGTTTGGTGGCTCAGAACCATCAAAAAACGTTGAAATATAGTTCACATTCAATAAAAATCGACAAAAATACAGTTTCTAGCTAAAATTTGATGGTTTCGTTGCACTTTCCGAGCCCGTAGGGTATCTGAGTGGCTTAAAAGTACAAGAAAACACTTCAAAAGTGACGTTTCTGAAGAATTTTAACAGTTTTCTTGTATCTACGAACGCCAGAATGCATAAAATTGACCTAAACGTCTCCTTTTCCTATTCTGAGTCGATTCTGTATGCTTTAAGTGTGTTTGGTGGCTCAGAACCATCAAAAAACGTTGAAATATAGTTCAAATTCAATAAAAATCGACAAAAATACAGTTTCTAGCTAAAATTTGATGGTTTCGTTGCACTTTCCGAGCCCGTAGGGTATCTGAGTGGCTTAAAAGTACAAGAAAACACTTCAAAAGTGACGTTTCTGAAGAATTTTAACAGTTTTCTTGTATCTACGAACGCCAGAATGCATAAAATTGACCTAAACGTCTCCTTTTCCTATTCTGAGTCGATTCTACATGCTTTAAGTGTGTTTGGTGGCTCAGAACCATAAAAAAACATTGAAATATAGTTCAAATTCAATAAAAATCGACAAAAATACAGTTTCTAGCTAAAATTTGATGGTTTCGTTGCACTTTCCGAGCCCGTAGGGTATCTGAGTGGCTTAAAAGTACAAGAAAACACTTCAAAAGTGACGTTTCTGAAGAATTTTAACAGTTTTCTTGTATCTACGAACGCCAGAATGCATAAAATTGACCTAAACGTCTCCTTTTCCTATTCTGAGTCGATTCTGCATGCTTTAAGTGTGTTTGGTGGCTCAGAACCATCAAAAAACGTTGAAATATAGTTCAAATTCAATAAAAATCGACAAAAATACAGTTTCTAGCTAAAATTTGATGGTTTCGTTGCACTTTCCGAGCCCGTAGGGTATCTGAGTGGCTTAAAAGTACAAGAAAACACTTCAAAAGTGAAGTTTCTGAAGAATTTTAACAGTTTTCTTGTATCTACGAACGCCAGAATGCATAAAATTGACCTAAACGTCTCCTTTTCCTATTCTGAGTCGATTCTGCACGCTTTAAGTGTGTTTGGTGGCTCAGAACCATCAAAAAACGTTGAAATATAGTTCAAATTCAATAAAAATCGACAAAAATACAGTTTCTAGCTAAAATTTGATGGTTTCGTTGCACTTTCCGAGCCCGTAGGGTATCTGAGTGGCTTAAAAGTACAAGAAAACACTTCAAAAGTGACGTTTCTGAAGAATTTTAACAGTTTTCTTGTATCTACGAACGCCAGAATGCATAAAATTGACCTAAACGTCTGCTTTTCCTATTCTGAGTCGATTCTGCATGCTTTAAGTGTGTCTGGTGGCTCAGAACCATCAAAAAACGTTGAAATGTAGTTCAAATTCAATAAAAATCGACAAAAATACAGTTTGTAGCTAAAATTTGATGGTTTCGTTGCACTTTCCGAGCCCGTAGGGTATCTGAGTGGCTTAAAAGTACAAGAAAACACTTCAAAAGTGACGTTTCTGAAGAATTTTAACAGTTTTCTTGTATCTACGAACGCCAGAATGCATAAAATTGACCTAAACGTCTCCTTTTCCTATTCTGAGTCGATTCTGCATGCTTTAAGTGTGTTTGGTGGCTCAGAACCATCAAAAAACGTTGAAATATAGTTCAAATTCAATAAAAATCGACAAAAATACAGTTTCTAGCTAAAATTTGATGGTTTCGTTGCACTTTCCGAGCCCGTAGGGTATCTGAGTGGCTTAAAAGTACAAGAAAACACTTCAAAAGTGACGTTTCTGAAGAATTTTAACAGTTTTCTTGTATCTACGAACGCCAGAATGCATAAAATTGACCTAAACGTCTCCTTTTCCTATTCTGAGTCGATTCTACATGCTTTAAGTGTGTTTGGTGGCTCAGAACCATCAAAAAACGTTGAAATATAGTTCAAATTCAATAAAAATCGACAAAAATACAGTTTCTAGCTAAAATTTGATGGTTTCGTTGCACTTTCCGAGCCCGTAGGGTATCTGAGTGGCTTAAAAGTACAAGAAAACACTTCAAAAGTGACGTTTCTGAAGAATTTTAACAGTTTTCTTTAATCTACGAACGCCAGAATGCATAAAATTGACCTAAACGTCTCCTTTTCCTATTCTGAGTCGATTCTGCATGCTTTAAGTGTGTTTGGTGGCTCAGAACCATCAAAAAACGTTGAAATATAGTTCAAATTCAATAAAAATCGACAAAAATACAGTTTCTAGCTAAAATTTGATGGTTTCGTTGCACTTTCCGAGCCCGTAGGGTATCTGAGTGGCTTAAAAGTACAAGAAAACACTTCAAAAGTGAAGTTTCTGAAGAATTTTAACAGTTTTCTTGTATCTACGAACGCCAGAATGCATAAAATTGACCTAAACGTCTCCTTTTCCTATTCTGAGTCGATTCTGCATGCTTTAAGTGTGTTTGGTGGCTCAGAACCATCAAAAAACGTTGAAATATAGTTCAAATTCAATAAAAATCGACAAAAATACAGTTTCTAGCTAAAATTTGATGGTTTCGTTGCACTTTCCGAGCCCGTAGGGTCTCTGAGTGGCTTAAAAGTACAAGAAAACACTTCAAAAGTGACGTTTCTGAAGAATTTTAACAGTTTTCTTGTATCTACGAACGCCAGAATGCATAAAATTGACCTAAACGTCTGCTTTTCCTATTCTGAGTCGTTTCTGCATGCTTTAAGTGTGTTTGGTGGCTCAGAACCATCAAAAAACGTTGAAATGTAGTTCAAATTCAATAAAAATCGACAAAAATACAGTTTGTAGCTAAAATTTGATGGTTTCGTTGCACTTTCCGAGCCCGTAGGGTATCTGAGTGGCTTAAAAGTACAAGAAA